GCCGGGCATTGTGGCACATGCCTGTAATCCCAGTTATTCAGGAGGCTGAGGCAAGAGAATCGCTTGAACCCAGGAGGCAGAGGTTGCAGTGAGTCAAAATAGCACCATTGCACTCCAGCCTAGGCAACAAGTGTGAAACTCTGTCTCAAAAAAAAAAAAAAAAAACTCTCAACTTGGGCCTTTTTGGAATCATGCTTAGCCAAGTTAACTGGAAAGTAAATCTGCACAATGAAGATGAACAGGAATGGTAATGTAATGTGCTCAAGTCAAGATTTCTTTTTGATAAGTCTAGAATGGATTTTTTTTATTTCTAAATTACTACTGTTAGGCTTATGTGGTCACCTATATTTACTTCTGAAATTGGGAAATGTCTGTAGACTTAACACTGATCAACACTGCCCAAAGCCAAATAACTAAAGAAGTTGTCAGTCTCTGTTTCCAAGAGCTATTGGGTCTGGGAATAATAGAGAGACTTAAACTGCTATAGATCATCTTGCTCACATCTGTTCTTGGGTCTTTCCAGTTAATGTGAGTCCTCTTAATTTACTGTATGTTAAACTGCCTTTGGGCTAAAGAACAGTGATGGAGGTGTTATCAAACAATTTCTGAATCTTTCACATATTTTTTTAATTTCTTTTTTTTTTTTTTTTTTTTAGACTGAGTCTTGCTCTGTCTCCAGGCTAGAGTGAAGTAGCATGATCTCAGCTGACTGCAATCTCTGCCTCCTGGGTTCAAGTAATTCCCCTGCCTCAGCCTCCTGAGTATCTGGAACTACAAGCGTACACAACCACAAGGGGCTAATTTTTTTGTATTTTAGTAGAGATGGGGTTTCACCATGTTGGCCAGGATGGTCTTGATCTCCTGACCTCTTGATCCACCTGCCTCGGCCTCCCAAAGTGCTAGGATTACAGCTGTGAGCCACTGCACCTGGCTACTTTTTCAATTTCTAAGGTGAAAGAAAAAAATAATCAGTATCCTATTTTTAGTTAGGGTTCGAGTTAGCTTTGCATTGTTGAAGGATACGGGATGGTTGCTAGATAACTAATATAATTAAGTTTATTTTAAAGAAATGTGCTACAAACATCAAGGCCTTTTTAGGTGTTCCTGTAATTTGGAAAGGATGTAGCCAGTAATTTATAAATAGATTGTTATTGTTGCACACCAAAGGGCAAATTTAGGCTCACCTTTTTTGCATGCTGTGTGAAGTTAACAACTTGTGTTTTCTGCATTAATCTATTTTTAGAGGGGTATGACCCTTCTTTTAGTAATTCAAGGATTTGGCTTAGTTACAGTTGGTAAAGCAACAAAATCCAGAGGTTTGAATCACTCTTAAATAAAGAGAAGCCTCAGTATTAGCCAATTATAAGCTTTCTTAAAAAGTTGTAACAGTTTAGGTTTCCAGGGTAGAAGTAGAATTATTTGATTTTTTTTTATAATGAAGTAATGAACTAACCTATTTAAATTGTTGTATATGTTTGTTTAAGGATGGTATCCGCCTCATTTCAGGGCATTTTGGATATCACCTGAGATAATTATTCACAAGAAAGAACAATAAAAATTCCAGTTATGTTTGTTACTTTTATCACCTGTACTTCATATTTATCCATCAAAATTTATATGGATATTCGTGTTCCATAAGAGTATTTCAAGTCCTGAGTATTCAAATTGTGGACTTTATATTGATTGTCTTCTGTGGTGACCCTGTAAAAGTTTATGCTACATATGGCTTTATCTGTTTGCAACTTAAGCAGTACTTCAAGCGTACTTCATCACCCCAGCAAAAAGCTGGTCAGGTTTGTGAGCTTAGCATCTTATCAGTGCATCTTATCTCTGCTGTTCTCTGAATTTTATGTCATAAAAACCAGTGTGTCTCCATGAGGGCTAAATTGAATGAGAGTATTTCTTCACTGATTTTAAATAAATATCATTTACAACAGAACATTTGAGAGATGGCATTTCTTCAGGATTCTCCTCTGTCCCATGTCCCTTTAAGTTAATCTTTCTCTTAATGCTAATATACACAGTTCTTATGAACATCAAAAATTTTAATTTCCCATAATTATATCATCTCTTTTTATTTCTTTATTTATCTATTTTTTTGAGACAGAGTCTTGCTCTGTTGCCCAGACTGGAGTGCAGTGGTGCGATCTTGGCTCACTGCAACCTCCACCTCCCAGGCTCAAGTGATTCTCCTGCCTCAGCCTCCCGAGGAGCTGGGATTACAGGTACCCACCACCATGCCCAGCTAATTTTTGTTTTTTTAGTAGAGACAACGTTTCACCATGTTGGCAAAGCTGGTCTTGAACTCCTGACCTCAGGTGACCCACCCACCTTGGCCTCCCAAAGTGCTAGCATTACAGGCATGAGCCACCACACCCGGCCTTATCTCTATTTTTAGGGGAAGCTTTAGTTGAGCATTTGGGGTTTCTGTGGGGGAATGTGAATTCTTAATGTAAATCTGTCTTCCTAAGAGATGAGTGAAATGAATTCAGACAACAAATAAAACTGAAGTCCCTTTGACCAAACTTGGTCTATCATTCTGTCAGTCCTACCTCTGTGATGGCCTTCCCTCCTCAATAAAATCTGACACTTAATTCTTGAAGTATCCCATTCCTTAAACATTCTCTTTAGAATTCTTAAAAGATTTCTTGGGTCACATATTCAGAATAACTACTTGCCATTTTTATTGTACCTAATAGTAATAGTGCAGTATTTGAAATGAAACAGACCTGAGTTCCAGAGTTCATCATTTATTATCTGTGTGACTTCAAACATATTATATAATCACCCTAATCCTTAGTTTCCTCATCAGTAAAATGGAACTTACAGTACCTATGAGGATTAAATGTGAGATTTGTGAAGTGCTGGTAATAGTAAGCACTCAGCAAACGGTAACTTCAATTTTTGCTCATTTTGCTCTTTTGATATGAGCCAAATTATAGTAGAAAGAATTAGAAGACAGAGTGGCACCCCAGCATGATGGTAAAAATCCTGTCATGTCCATCATTATCCTAAATTGCATCTATTTTGTGTAAGAAGTAAGAGATAAAAAAGAAATATAAGGCACGGTTCCTGCAGTCAGGATACTCAGTCTGTTGAGGAAATAAGATGTGAATGAAAGGATAAATAAGAGCACAATTTTATTTATTTTTACTTTTTTGAGATGAAGTCTCACTTTGTCACCCAAGCTGGAGTGCAGTGGTGCAATCTCCACTCACTGCAACCTCTGCCTCCCGGGTCCAAGCGATTCTCCTACCTCAGCCTCCCGAGTAGCTGGGACCACAGGTGCGTGCCACCATGCCCGGCTAATTTTTTTTTTTTTTTTTTTTTAGTAGAGGTGAGGTTTCACAGTGTTAGCCAGGATGGTCTCGATCTCCTGACCTCGTGATTCGCCTGCCTTGGCCTCCCAAAGTGCTTTAGGATTACAGGCATGAGCCACCACGCCTGGTCCCAAGAGCACAATTTAGGGACCGGGTGTGGTCCCTAAACTGCACTTAGCACTGCATGCTAAGTGTCAGATAAATAGTACAATTTGTGCTTTAGAAATCTTCACAGAACTGGAAAAAACCACCATAAACTTCATATGGAACCAAAAGAGAGCCCGCATAGCCAAGTCAATTCTAAGTAAAAAGAACACAGCAGGAGGCATCACACTACCAGACTCCAAACTATACTACAAGGCTACAGTATTCAAAACAGCATGGTACTGGTACCAAAACAGAGATATAGACCAATGGAACAGAACAGAGGCATCGGAGGCAACACAACATATCTACAACCTTTCAATCTTTGATAAACCTGACAAAAACAAGCAATGGGGAAAGGATTCCCTGTTTAATAAATGGTGTTGGGAAAACTGGCTAGCCATGTGCAGAAAGCAGAAACTAGACCCCTTCCTGACACTTACACTAAAATTAACTCCAGATGGATTAAAGACTTAAACATAAGACCCAACACCATAAAAACCCTAGAAGAAAATCTAGACAAACCCATTCAGGACATAGGAGTAGGCAAGGACTTCATGACCAAAATACCAAAAGCATTGGCAACAAAAGCCAAAATAGACAAATGGGACCTAATCAAACTCCACAGCTTCTGCACGGCAAAAGAAACAGTCATTAGAGTGAATCGGCAACCAACAGAATGGGAAAACATTTTTGCAGTTTACCCATCTGACAAAGGGCTGATATCCAGAATTTACAAAGAACTCAAACAGATTTACAAGAAAAAAACAAGCCCATTCAAAAATGGGCAAAGGATATGAACAAACACTTTACAAAAGAAGACATACAAGAGGCCAACAAACATATGGAAAAATGCTCATCATCACTAGCCATTAGAGAAATGCAAATCAAAACTACATTGAGATACCATCTCACACCAGTTAGAATGGCGATCATTAAAAAATCTGGAGACAGCAGATGCTGGAGAGGATGTGGAGAAATAGGAACACTTTTACAGTGCTGATGGGAGTGTAAATTAGTTCAACCATTCTGGAAGGCAGTGTGGCGACTTCTCAGCGACCTAGAAATAGAAATTCCATTTGACCCAGCAATCCCATTACTGGGTATATATCCAAAGGACTATAAATTGTTCTATAAGGACACATGCACATGAATGTTCATTGCAGCACTGTTTACAATAGCAAAGACCTGGAAGCAACCCAAATGCCCATTGATGATAGACTGGACAGGGAAAATGTGGCACATATACACCATGGAATATTATGCAGCCATCAAAAACGATGAGTTCGTGTCCTTTGTACGGACATGGATGAACCTGGAGAACATCATTCTCAGCAAACTGACACAAGAACAGAAAATGAAATACCGCATGTTCTCACTCATAGGCGGGTGATAAACAATGAGAACACATGGACACAGGGAGGGGAGCACTACACACTGGGGTCTATTGGGGGGAATAGGGGAGGGACAGCAGGGGGGGCGGGGGGGCGGGAGTTGGGGAGAGATAGCATGAGGAGAAATGCCAGATATAGTTGAAGGGGAGGAAGGCAGCAACTCACACTGCCATGTGTGTACCTATGCAACTATTTTGCATGTTCTTCACATGTACCCCAAAACCTAAAATGCAATTAAAAAAAAATTAAGAGAATTTCATTATCATTATAGCAAGTGCAATGGCTCACGCCTGTAATCCTAGCACTTTCGGAGGCCAAGGAAGGAGGGTGAGATCAAGAGTTTGAGACCAGCCTGACCAGCATGCTGAAACCCCATCTCTACTAAAAATACAAAAATTCTTCGGTGCAGTCGTCACTCGCGTCAGGCTACCGGCTCCTCGCTGCCCTGCGCTCGGCGGGCTGGCATCCGGCCCCGGGAAAAGCGGAGAAAGTCTAAGAAGCTAAGTGTCCCGGCGGCGGCGCACCTCGCGGCGAGAATCCGGAGGAGGAGAAGACTGCAAGGATAGGCCCAGGAGTAATGGAGTCCAAAGAGAAACGAGCGTTAAACAATCTCAGCGTGGAAAATGCCGACCAAGAAAATGAAGAAAAGGAAGAAAAGAAACAAGTTGCTAATAAAGGGGAGCCCTTGGCCCTCCCTTTGGATGCTGGTGAATACTATGTGCCTAGAGGAAATTGTAGGCGGTTCCGCGTTAGGCAGCCCATCCTGCAGTTATAGATGGGACATGGTGCATAGGCTTGGAGAACCACAGGTAAGGATGAGAGAGGAGAATATGGAAAGGCTTGGGGAGGAAGTGAGACAGCTGAGGGAAAAGCAGTTGAGTCATAGTCTGCGGGCTGTCAGCACTGACCCCCCTCACCATGACCATCACGATGAGTTTTGCCTTATGCCCTGAATCCTTATTAGGGAGGCAGACTCCTGCTTTCGAAATTTACATGTTCATTATCTGCCCTTGTTGTAAACCTTTACCTGTCACTTGTTTACGTGGGTCTCCTATTACCAGCTTCTTATTGAATATTGTGTTTCTGACCCAGTCTGTAAGATTTTTGTTAGCAGAAGAATTTTACCTATTGCATGGAAAGATGTTCATTATATATTGTGAAGTTAATAAAGCAGCTTTAAAAAGTAAAAAAAAAAAACAAAAAACAAAAATTAGCCCCGTGTGGTGGTGTGTGCCTATAATCCCAGCTACTCAGGAGGCTGAGGCATGAGAATAGCTTTAACCCAGGAGTTGGAGGTTGCAGTGAGCAAAGATTGCACCACTGCACTCTAGCCTGGGCAACAAACTGAGACTCCATCTCAAAAAATAAAAAATAAAAAGAAAGAAGGGTATCATTGTAATGAACCAATTAGAAAAGGCTTTATGAGGCTGGGTACCATGGCTCACGCCTGTAATCCCAACACTTTAGTAGATTGAGGCAGGCGGATCACCCAAGGTCAGCCTGGCCAATGTGGTAAAACCGTATCTCTACTAAAAATACAAAAATTAGGTGGGCATGGTGGTGCGTGCCTGGACTCCCAGCCACTTAGGAGGCTGAGGCAGGAGAATCACTTGAACCTGGGAGGAGGAGGTTGCAGTGAGCCAAGATCACGCCACAGCACTCCAGCCTGGCCTACAGAGTGAGACTTCATCTCAAAAAAAAAAAGACAATAGGATTTGAGCTGAGACTCTGACCTTTATTTCTGATCTTAAAATACCTTGATTTCTGTAAGTGGTTAAAGGATACTTGCATGCTGACAAGAAAGGAAGACTACTGTGGGGGATGTTATGGCCATATTACATACAAGTAAGATAGCTTTCAATGGATGACTGCTGTTAATCATTTGTGGTAAAATGAAGAATCCAGAAAGGTTTTTTGTATAGACTGATAATGTTCTTTAGGAAATTACTTTGAGCCGGACGTGGTGGCTTAGGCCTGTAATCCCAACACTTTGGGCGGCCAAGGTGGGCAGATAACTTGAGATCAGGAATTTGAGACCAGCCTGGCCAACATGGTGAAACCTTGTCTGTACTAAAAATACAAAAATTAGCTGGGCATGATGGCGAGTGCCTGTAATTCCAGCTATTTGGGAAGCTGACACATGAGAATTGCTTGAACCTGGGAAGCAGAGGTCAAAGTGAGCTGAGTTGGCACCACTGCACTCCAGCCTGGATGACAGAGAGAGAGAGACTCCGTCTCAAAAATAAAAGAAAGAAAGAAAGAAAAGAAAATTACTTTCAGCATATTTTGGGTATATCATATGGGCAGAGCATCCAGAGTACCTACTAGGCACACAGCAGAGTAACCAGTGTTTGCAGGTTTTACATAACTTATTTAGGAAGGTTGCCAATTTTACAAGGCCATTGTTATTGAATCAGTACCAGTGGCTGTGAGCACAATGTGAAATCCCCGCAGGCAACACAAGAACAGAAATCATTAAACTATCTGGTAGTGGCTTTATGGTTTATTTAAAGAAAAAAAAAGCACATTCAAGTATGCAAAGCAAAACTTATTGCTCTTCTTCCTCCAGGTGCTTAATTTTAGATGTTATTATTACATCGGCATCACATGGTAGGCAAGGTGGTTCCCATGACACAGAGGGCTTATAATATTTATAGTGGAGTAAGCCATAAGGGGAAAGGTGTGCTGATTGCTATTTTTTCTTGTTATTATTGACTTGGTTGCTAGTTTTTAATGGCCTGGTTGCTAATTAATGGCTTAATGTATTCGGTGTTCTATATAAGCAACGTACAACTCATTAGTTTCTAAGTCAACTACACATGAAAATCATTCTAGTGGATATGAGAATGTTTCATACAAATAGTAAGCCTGTGATTGTACATTAATCAATGAAGATCAAGAACTGTATAAATGCCATGTTACACTAAGCCCAAATGACAGTTTAATGATATTGAGTCAAAAAAGAGACACTGCAACTACTAAAAATTTAGAGATTATGCCCTAATAATGCCTGTGCCAAGAAAAATGGCATACTGAAACTAGGTAAGAGAAACTGTATATTTCATAACATTTAGTGATTCTAACCAAATGAATTTAAACCTAGTATAATTTTTTTTCAAAATTAAAAACTGAATAATGTAGTAGACTGGCTAGTTATCTATAATGTAAAGATTTAAACTGTTGGTTTAATCATACTTTTTTATTGTTTCCTCTTAGAATTGCTTGAGTACATCTGTTCAGAACAGGTTTTAATCCAGGCTATTAGTGTGCTGGGGCTTATTCCCCCCCGTACCTCTCCTATAGTCAATCTTAGTTATCGTGGTAGTCTATGCCCATGCTACTGGAATTTTCTCTTCTTCTTTTGTTGCTATTTTAGATGCTTGGAGAAATTCTCAGCAAGCCCATATGCCCTGTTTGTCAGAAAATAATAGTGTCATGAGAAAGTTTGTTATGCTTTAAAAAAACAAATCTAGGCCAGGCGCGGTGGCTCACTCCTATAATCTCAGAACTTTGGTAGGCTGAGGCAGGCAGATCACCAGGTCAGGAGATCGAGATCATCCTGGCCAACACTGTGAACCCATCTCTACTGAGGCTGTGGACTGAGGCAGGAGGATTGCTTGAGCTCAAGAGGTCAAGGCTGCAGTGAGCTATGATTATGACACTGCACTTCAGCCTGGGTGACAGAGTGAGACCCTGTCTCAAAAAAAAAAAAAACTTGTCCTGGGTGAGTGATTTTTTTTTTTTAATGGAACCAGTCTTATCAGTAAAGCAGAAAGCTTGGCTGTATTTTAATATTTGCAGATAATGCATGTTTATTATAGAAAAATAAAACATTGAGACATTTCTCCTCCCTCCAAAAACATTACTCTTATTTTTATTTCCCAAATAGATTTACTGTTAACACCATCCAGGTTAACACATATCTTTTACGTGTATGTGTATGCTTTTAAAAATGGGATGGTCCCATGTCTACTGCTTTGCAACCTCATTATTTTCACTTCAGCATATTGAGAACATCCTGCCTTGTCCCCAAATGCATTTTTTTCATATCCTTTTTACTGGTTGTTTGTTTTCCATAAAACTGATTCATATTCTGTCCGATTGTTGAGCATTTCAGTTGTGTCCAGTTTTTTGCAGTTATAAACAGAACCTCACTGAATGAACATCCTTATGCTTCAGTCTTTGCCCATGTCCCTAAAAGACATATTCTAAGGGTCAATTCTGGGATTGCTAGGACAAAGAACATATGTATTTCTAGGGCTTTTGATACAGGCTGCTGGTTTGCTCACCTGTTGGACCAGTCTACACTCCCATCAGCAGATGTAATTCATATTTCTGATGCTCCTGAAATGATAAATAAAAGTTTTTAAAAATACAATTCCATCTTTCAGTTCTTCTGAGCTACTTGGAGACCCAGAAAAATTGATTCTCACTTGTCTTTGCTATCAAGACCCTCTTTCATACCTAAGTACTGGCGAAAAATACATCAGTGAGTTGTTTGGGTAGAACTAATGGAAAGATGAAATAATACAACATCGATAGTCAAGATGAAGAAACTAATTATCCCAGGGTGTTTTTGGGCAGATAGGTAGTGCTTGTAAATTTAGGTTTGCTCCCCACATTGTCAGTTTATTCTAAAAGTATTACCATTTTAGACTTAAAGAATTGAAAGACAAAAGATAAGCAAACAGACTTGCTTAGGTTATGTAGCAAATTAATTCAGACCTTGAACAACATTTCATTGTGCTGTTTAGGAAGTGTTAAGCATGAGATTTCCCTTAGTGCTATCTTACTATGATACTTAAATTTTGCAAGATGATCAAATAGATTTTTATTATTATGCTTATGAAGTTAGAATTTCCTGCCCTTATTTATAGAAAGCACTTCACATATTTCACAAAGCTGAGGAGATTAACTTTTTTTTTGTAGGAGATTAACTTTTTAGGGAATTAGTCATTTAAATTCTTGAACCAAAGGCTATATGATTATTGAATATAGGAGAAAGGAGAAACGTATGCATGTTTCTCAAAGGCTCTTTCTTTAGATTTCACCAGCAGATCTAAACACTATCCATAGGGGCCTATGGCAAATTTACCAAAAAAGGGGGGAATAAAAGGAAAGAAAAAGAAAAGACAGGAAGGAGGTTTCTTTGTCTATTACTGCTGGCTTCAGTAGTGTTGGTTGCCTGCCTCTCTTTGACACTGTGACACTTCCTTAATGAAGGTGTGTGTTTAAATCACAGACAGGGAAAGTGCTTTCCGGTGAAGTTTCACTTTGTGTAGTGACAGCAGTTCTGGACATGGTGCTGGCACAGAGGGTGAGTTCAGCACCTTCTCTTCAGATCGGATCTCTGCCCACAGCTCATCTCTTTTACATAGCAAGCCTTTGTTCACTAAAGAGTAGACCTGTGGTTGGCCTGTCCACCTACTGTCAGAGACCAAAGGTGACTGATAAGGAGTCCAACGGTCAAAACAGATAGTGTGAGGTCAATCCAGCTTTAAGGAGAAAAGCCATTGTTTTGAAGTGCAGGCATCAAAAACTGAATTGCAGCCTGAGAGATGTTCAGTTCATCAGCTTTGGCCATTCAGCTCCCATCAAAGAAAAATCACTAGCTGTTTCTGTGGTCAGCAGGAGCAGAAAAGAAAGAAAACTTTTTAAAATGTGTGATTTAATTAAATTGTGTTGTATTGGAGATTTCTTTCCAGAAATGGTTTCTTTGTGAGTGTTGCTTTGCTTACTATGAGAATGCAAGTATTAAATTAAAAAACCAAAGGTAAACCACAATTACTAGGGCCTTTTATTGGGTTTTTTAATAGAAAGTCAATTAGATTAGATTCAGGTATTTCATATACTGACATTACCTTTTGACCTATTAGGGTCCGATGGAGCATTAGGAAAGGCAAGTGATATTTGCATTATTATTAAGGCTAACACTTTTTAATTAAATTGGCTTTTACTAAGTATTTAGCTAACTTCAGAATTGAGATACTACAAGTGTTTTCAACCTGATTCAAAGTTTCCATTTTAGGGAATGTCTAAGTTAGCAGTGGTCCTTACATATAGTCATTGAGAGACTGTAAGCTAAGCTATTGTCCTTATCCTCTAGTCTAGCAAAAGATTTTGTGCAGGACAGCCATATAATTTTCAGGGCCTGGTGCAAAGTGAAAAGGCAGGGCCTGTTGTTGTTCAGAAACAAGAATTTCAAGACAGCACCAGCAGAGCATTAAGCCAATTCCTTCAAGCACCAAACCCTGTACAGGCCACAAGTGCATCCCTGACGGGGAAGTGAAGTTAAATAGATGGTGGATTTGATTAGAACTCTGCTTCTTATTTATGTTATTTCTGAACCACTGTTTTCTCTATTTTTTATCTTTCTATAAAATTTTTCTTGTTCTATTCTCTTGCCAAACTTGGAGACCCTGAAGGAAGAATTGGGAGTATGTATACTTAAATTTCTTAGTCCATGTGAGAACTTCTGCAAGAACTTCTGTATTTTCTTGTGTTTGGCTGGTGTAGCAATTGAGATTAGAGTTTTGGTTTTAGGAAAGTGAGTAATTTATTTAATTAAAAATACATATACCACATTATAATTTTAAAAGCTCTTTCACAATTCATATAACATTTGATTCAAACAATTATGCTTTTGAGGCAGTTAGTATTTTTTCCTCTCATCTTATAGATAAGAAAATTAAGCCTCAGAGAGGTTGAGACTTTCTCAAAGTCAGCCAGCTGGTAAGTGAAGTTCAAGCCCGTAACTTTTCTCACTATTTAGTTCTGCCTTTATTGTTCTGCAAGATCAAAGGTAAGGTGGCAGAATATCTTGCTTTCTCAAGATCTACTTTATAAAATTTTTGCTAATGTTCTGAGAATAACTGCTAGGTTATAATAACAATGCAACTTTTCACTTCTTTTTTTTTTTTTTTTTGAGACGGAGTTTCGCTCTTGTTACCCAGGCTGGAGTGCAATGGCGCAATGTCGGCTCACCGCAACCTCCATCCCCTGGGTTCAGGCAATTCTCCTGCCTCAGCCTCCAGAGTAGCTGGGATTACAGGCACGTGCCACTGTGCCCAGCTAATTTTTTTTTTTGTAATTTTAGTAGAGATGGGGTTTCACCATGTTGACCAGGATGGTCTTGATCTGTTGACCTCATGATCCACCCGCCTCGGCCTTCCAAAGTGCTGGGATTACAGGCTTGAGCCACCGCGCCTGGCCTCAACTTTTCACTTCTATTATTTGCAGTAACCCTTGGAATAACTCTGCGTCATAGTATTTCAGCATCATTTTAAAGGAACAAGACTGAGGTTCAAAGAGATTAAATGACTTGTTGAAGATGAAAGGGCAGTGACTGAAATCCAGGTCTTCCAACTTTATATCCCATGCTTTTGTACTGCGCCTTATTTGCCCATAGTTAATTTCATTTCCCTACTTAGTAAATGTTCATTTATTTATTGGTCACCTACCATGTTCAAGGCACTAGGAATGCATCAATGAACCAAAAAGACCAAGTCACAGCTCTCGGAACTTACATTACAGACTGTAAATAAATTACTGTAAATAAATAATTAGCTGATGATATAACTCTAAAGAAAAGATAATGCAGGACAGAAAGAAAGCTGGGAGGGAGAGACTATTTTAGAGAAAATGGTCAGAAGACTGTTAAACTGTTACTTAAACCACAAACCAAAGTGTAGACATTTTATGTAAATGCATAAGTCAATTTTTAGGTATATATAACAGATAATCTAAATAATATAAGGCCACTGCATTTATAGACGACAATAGATGAGGATTGTTAACTGTTACAAAAATTAGCCTTTGTAGTAACTGTTATACCTTAGGGTTAATCTCTTTTCCCATGTTGTGTGGATTGTAAAATCAAGATCAGTAAAGCCCTAAATCTAGTCCTTTTCTTTCATGCTGAATCACTTACTGCATAAAGTACTGTTTAATGTATTGGTGATCTTAGATTTCTCACATTGTTAGAGAATAAGTACTGTGATCAAATGGCATGCTCTGGGTAGCTGTTGACATTTCTAGAGTATCCAAGGGGTTCAGAGAAGTGTAAACTTAATTTGCTGGTCAGATTTAATTTTAATGAATTTCAAAATCTTAACTAAAATCCTTTATTATGCTAAAATCCTGTTATGTCTAGTACTGTTGGGAATCCCAAAGTACTGTAATCCCAAAGTGCTGGGATTACAGGCATCGGCCATTGCACCTGGCCCTGTAGGGTGCTTTAAAATGAGAGTCCACAGTATTAACAGAAGAACTTGTGAAACTCCCATTCATTGTGTTCCCTGTGGTTTCAAAATTAATGCCAAGCGTAAGTCATTCACTATTTGCCTCTTGTTAAAGGTCAGCTGTTACCTGCTAAAAAGTGAGGGGTAGTAGTGGGGAGGCTATTAATTCTCACCTACTCATAATTTCTTTAGGGCATTTATCAGGTTCCTTTAGTCTAGAGTTTTGGACCAGGAAATTCATAAATACACTGAAATAATATGAAAATGTGTGCCTATATAGAAGTAGAGCATTAAATTTTTCTGGAGGAAAAGGCCATAGCTTTCATCAGATTCTCAAAGGAATCTAATGATCTTCCCCCAGCATCCCCCCACCTCCAATTATGAACCTTGAATAGACTCCTTTGGGTATTTGATTTAGAAACCCAAGGAAACTCTTTTTAAGCTTTTTGAACTTACCGCTGAGATTTGTTTATCCAGTTTTAAACAATCACTCATGATTTCCCCAGGCTGAAAGAATTTGAGCTAATGTTTTCTCTCTATTGAGAAGGGTTATACAGCCTTTTGAATACCCTCTCCTTCTTAATAATCTTGGAGTAGATATTCCAAGAATTGTATTTGCTTAAAGAAAACTTGGAATATTACAATAAAGCCTGAATGTTTGTGTTTCTCAGCACAACCTATGTGGTAATAAAATGAAGCAATATTAGGATAAAATATTTCTAGTCTTGAACTATTCCAGGGAGCCAAAAAAATTTAAGGTGGTTTCTCTCAAGAAAAAAATTGAGAGGCAGTAGGAGAGTTTCTAATTGCTTTTAGTATAGGTATCTATTGAATTAATTATAAAGAGATTGTTAGGAGGTTTGGGGATGAAGACCACTGTCCTAGGCTTAGCTATTTAGTGGAATGAATGTGCTGTTTAACTGTTTGTGCATTGAGGGCCAAAAATTCAACCCATAAAGTCATTCTTTGCTACTAAGACTGATTTCTGCAGCCTGCCATGCATAGTTATGAATTTTTGGAAGTGTGCCATTTTTGCCTCCTTGCCATTTATTTGCCTATTTGTGCTTGGAAAAATTTCTGGGCTTTCTTAAGGCATAGAAAACCTTCAGATCAGTTTATCTCTTAGAAATTAAACACCCTAAGGCCGGGCACAGTGGCTGAAGCCTGTTATCCCAGCACTTTGGGAGGCCGAGGCGGGTGGATCACGAGGTCAAGACATCGAGACTATCCTGGTCAACATGGTGAAACCCCGTCTCTACTAAAAATACAAAAAATTAGCTGGGCGTGGTGGCGCGTGCGTTTAATCCCAGCTACTCAGGAGGCTGAGGCAGGAGAATTGCCGGAACCCAGGAGGCGGAGGTTGCGATGAGCCAAGATCGTGCCATTGCACTCTAGCCTGGGTAACAAGAGCGAAACTCTGTCTCAAAAAAAAAAAAAAGAAAAGAAAAAGAAATTAAACACCCTAGTGAAACCTCGTCTCTACTAAAAATACAAAAAATTAGTTGGGCTTGGTGGCGTGTGCCTGTAATCCCAGCTACTCGGGAGCTGAGGCAGGAGAATCGCTTGAACCCCGAAGGTGAAGGTTGCAGTGAACCGAGATGCACCATTGCACTCCAGCCTGGGCAACAGAGCAAGGCTCTATCTCAAAAAAAAGAAAGAAATTAAACACCCTATGAAGAAGAAATTTATATATCTTAGAATTTTTTCTTCCAAAGGGATTATTTCAGCTTTTCAGTATCAAATGAGAATATTTAGGTAGGCATCTTTTATTAGTGTTTTTGATACAGAAGAAACAATATGAGATTTTTCAAAATCCCTCCTTTTTAAAGTATTGAACTGTGAATTATTTATACAACTTTTGGTTTAGAAGTAAATATTGGAAAATGAATACCTAAATGTATATAAACTGTATGGTAAGTTTCTGTTCGGCAACTATTATTTAAATATGAAAATATGTGCCTATATAGAAGTAGAGCATTAATTTTTTTCTGGAGGAAAAGTCCATAGCTTTCATCAGATTCTCAACGGATCTAATCTAATTTAAATATTATTTTAGAAAGTATGTATTAGAAAGTAAGACATTCAAAATATTACCTTTTTAGCATTAACTGCTGATTTGAAAAAGAAATGTACAACAGATTCCATAATCCTCTTCAGTGACACTAGAAAAACTTTGGGGAAACATCTAACGTCTGCTTAACTTTACTGCGGTAGACATTTCATAATTGCAACATGCAGTTTCTTTGACTGAAGATAAACATTTCTATTTGTTATACTTACCTTTTAGAAGTATGTTTACTTCATTCTTTCAATGTATTTCAGTTTTTTTCCCTGACAAGTTGAGGAGGTTCCAAAAATATCTGGTTGTTACTGGGGTTTTCTTAGCTTCCTCTTAGGGGCAACTATTGTGCCTGACTCACTTCAACACAACCTTTATTAGAAAATCCATGTTGACAAGATTTGCTTTTGTTTTGTTTTTTATTTGTTTGCTTGTTTTTGATAGATCTATAAGTGAGCTCATCCCCATTTGGTTCTTCCTTTGCTGGATGCTGGATCCAGGAAACTGTCAACTAGAGGACTTCTGGAAGACTCTCTCCAGCTGGACCTTAGTGTTATTCATATAACAATGATTCCCAGGTTGAAAACCTATTTTTTCCAGTTCTCAGGAGACTAAACTGCTACACATTTTACCCCACTGACCTGGGCAGCTCTTGTCTCTGGCTAAGGTGTGGCAGGTAGTCCTGGCAAGTGAGTTACCTGAAAGATATTTGCTGCTTTGCTTTAGGCATGACTGTACCAGAGTTATGTGTGGTAGAGATTGCTCAGTACATATTAGAAATTATACATTTATCTATTCAGGATGAAATAAAATTGATCATTGGTTTTATTGTTGGTTTCTAAGGAACACATCAATACAGTTTTTCTGTTAGTGTCTTTCCACCTCAACTGAAATGACCCCACTGTTGTGAGCCTAAGCCTGAGTGTCCTTCTATCTTTAATGGGTGTGCATACCTTGCCTAAATATAGCGAGGTGTGAACTTGGCTGATATATAGAGAGAGACAGTAAAATGACCTTAGCCGGTCTCCATATCTACTGTTAGAATTATATTTAAATAATAGGATTACTGTTTTCGTTCTGCTTATAGGCTGTAATGCTGTTTCCAGCTGCTCTGTTTCCTTAGGTAAAAAATTTTTGCAGTAGACCAAAAAATTATTTTAAAAGCTGAAGTGAATTACTTCAGAAAGAAGGCAGAAGTTAATTCCACATGAAAACATGTCTGAAGGGTGGTTTCTGTTTCTGTTTCTTTGTCCAGAATTTAACATTTATTCCCAATGTGAAAGGTAAAAGCTTTTCATGTACCTGTGTTCTTCAGAATAATAATTTGCATTTATATTATCCTGGTGCTTGCTACTTTTTAGAACACTCCTGCAAACTTTTGCCTACTAAAAAGAAAGACAATATTTTATCCCCAGGTATGTAAGACAAGGTA